GGTGACATTAGGGGTCTTGGAGACCCCTGATGTCTCCATAAAGAGGACCTGTCACATATTTTGCTATCACATAAGGGGGTTTTCTAACCCCCCTATGTGATGGCAATAAAGTTTCCCCCCCAAAAATGTAAAGTTACAAATAAAAAAGAATTACATTTTTTTTTAAAGTCCCCCCCATACATACACGCATGCAAACAGGCGTCGGGTGCACATACGTGTGAAAACGACGATTTCGCCCATTACGCCGCACATGTTACATATCGTCGCGAATGTCGGAATGAGAGCAATAATTGTAGGGCTACCAATCACTGATAACACTAAACTGATGAGTGGTAAAAGCTTTTAAAGCGTCACCTATGGTCAATTTTGGGCATGGTAATTTTATTGCGATTTTGCGGTGCGCGCAATTTTAAAGCATGACATGTTTGGTGTCTATTTACCCGACGTGACCCCGTCTTTTTATATTTTACCAAAAATATGGGTGATAAATGGGTGTGGTAACTGGGGGTGTGGCCACTAAAGGGTGTGGCCACTGAGGGGTGTGGTCACTGAGGGGCGCTGTAAAGCTTTCTCGCACAGGGCGCCTAAACGCCTAAGGCCGGCCCTGCATGTTTACTACACATATCATTAAAATAAAGTATTTGTTATATTGTACTTTAAAAATAGAAACATTCCCACAGGATCTCAGTGGGGGGGAATATTGACAGGTAATCCATTTAACTGGATTATACCAATAGCAAAACTCATATACATTGACCACATGTGCTCAGATAACATGTTTGGTCTCTTGAAATCAGGTGCAAAGAGTAGTCGTATGCAGAAACTCCGTTTTCATTAGCTTACCCTAAACTGCTGATGCAGATTTTTACTTGGGATTGTTTATTGCAGTTAGCCTTTGCACTTGTATTAAATGCCATTATAATGATATGACCTACTTCAAAAGTATTTTACACATATTACAACATGATATTAAATAGGGATGCACCGATACCAGTATTTTAGTACCGAGTACCGATATTTTTTTGGGAACTCGCCAATACCGAGTACCGGAAGTCCCATTCAGGAAGCCAGGCGGCGTGTAGTGACTCATCACCTGGCTTCCTGATTAGCCGGGAATCCAGGCAGCGTGTAAAGGCTCGCCGCACGGCTTACCGATTATCGAGGAAGCCGTCCCTTGCTCCTCGTCACAATGTGACGAGGAAGCATGGAGCCGGCTTGATGGCCAATCATGGAAGCCGGGCGCCGTGTAATGACGCGGCGCCATGCTTCCTGATTGGCCGGGGTGCCGGCTCCATGGTCCCTCGTCATGAGATGACGAGGGAGCATGAAGCCGGCTTCCCGGCCAATCAGAAAGCTGGGCAGCGTGTAATGACGCTCTGCCCGGCTTCCTGATACAGGAAGTATCGGGCTAGGCATCGGAGCATTAGGGCGAGTACTCTCCCAAATACTCGGTATTGGCACCGATACTAGTATCGATATCGGTGCAGCCCTAATATTAAAGCTGGACTCCATACAGTTTACATACTATATACATCAACATATTTGTTATTATGTCTATCCACTCTTGTGATCTAGGCACCCTGTCAGACAGCACTGTCAAGCAGGTGACTTCACATTTCTTCACTGCAGTTAAATAATGCAGCTTTGATTAGACAATGAAGGAGAAGGAGCAGTATTACATTGATTAGGTCATCCCTTATTGTAAACATGTTCAGAAAGGGAGAGTATAAGTGCTGTTTAATACAGAAAAGCGTGCTTGGTTCCTAGTGCTGCCTCTCCCAGTCTCCCAGAGAGCAGCAAGACCGATTCAGGTGCTTATGGTTGTCCTATGTAAAATGCATTTAATTTCTGTTGAATAATACACAACTCAATTAAATAGTATTTTCATTTGAATGAATCTCCTTACATTTCAGACATTGTCTCTCCCTGTTGTGGTCATTGTACATGGAAGCCAAGACAATAATGCCACAGCGACAGTTCTATGGGACAATGCATTTGCTGAGCCAGTAAGTGACCACTTTATACAGATTATAAACTACTAGTAATGTGTCCTGCATTATATGTATTTAATAATATACAATGCAATATACGGTATAGTTTATTGAAAATATAGTACACCATTAACAGTGAAGAATACAAATTATTGTATGTAAAATAGGTTCAATACAAATCTTAGGGAATATGTTGTTGTATTTTTACATTGCTCTTTGACACATTAAAGTGTAACTGCAGCCAAAATATTTTTGTAGTTTTGAAGATAACGATGTTTAGAACCTTTGTCAGGTTGAGGGTTTGTCAAGCAAATCTCCCCTTGAGTACTGTCCCTGTTGTGGGCAGAAATGTCACATGGCAACAGAGACAGCAATACATTTGATTGGATTTCTAGCCTTCCGCTACTTTACTAAAAGAAAGTGTTTGGTTTTTGCTGTCCGCTTCCTTGGAGATTTCTTCTCACAACCTGTCCTGGTGACAACATTGTCACATTTAGCAAGAAGTGAGGGGAAAGCTCACCAATAAGGCCACAAGGAGCAGAGTTCCACAAGGTAAATTTAGGAGGTAAAGAAATATTTTAGCTGGAGTTCTACTTCTTGTTTGTCAGATGAAAAAAAAAGGTTAAGCCATACAAGGGAAGATTATTGGGCAAATCATATCGTTTTAGTCCTACTCTGGTGGTGATCAGTTAGCTCAGACAGGATTGGGACCTTTGTGAGGGTATGGGTTGGTGGTGTCTTTGCAGTTAGGAGCTTATCATAGGTAAAGCACTTGCATGCATTATACTACTGGTGATGTGCTTAAAATCCTCTGCAAAAAAACACAACCGTAATGACAACTTTCTATGTCTAACACCAAGTTAAACCCTAACCCTCTAACACTCCACCTTAAAGAAAATGTTGACACAATAACATAACCAGGAGTTTTATCAAAACAAAGGAAACTTTCACTTCGACACTGGTATGGCAAAAAATAACTTCCCATACATCCTTTCATTTCAATGTAATGTTTACAACCTCTCTTTGCAGGGCCGGGTGCCATTTGTAGTTCCAGAGAAAGTTCTTTGGCCGCAGCTGTGTGAGGCTCTGAATATGAAGTTTAAGGCAGAAGTTCAAAGCAACCGAGGGCTCAGTGATGAAAATCTTGTGTTCTTGGCTCAGAAACTTTTCAATAACAACAGCAACCACAAGGACGATTACAACAACATGACAGTGTCCTGGGCCCAGTTCAACAGGGTGAGAGGCTAAGCGAGATATTATAATAAAATCTGTCCTGGAGATAATAATAGAAGGCCACAGTCACATCCTGTGCCCAGTTTATGGGTCATGGACTCAATGCTCGCTCTCATACAAGGCTATTTCATAAGTTTTGTTGCTGTAAAGATAATAACTCTTAAGGTGCCAGTAACCCAAAAGCCTGAGGTATCTAAGATACCAAGAAGCGATAAAAGGAATACTCCAGCCAAACATGTTTACCGGACAGGAGAGCACAGAAGCAAATTCAATTTCCCCCCATGCCTTACATCCCAGAGTGGCTTCTTCCCCCACTCTGTTGGCTTGCGTGTTTTAGATATTAGAAATTAGATGGCAATCAATATAACTATCAATATGCGGTGTGTGTATAGGAAACTATGCCTTAGGCAGCTATGTTGAAGTACTTAAAGCATCCTTCAGCTCCAGTTTGGTAAGGCTAAAGTGAAACTTGATTATTTGTTTAAATGCTGACAGCTTTGTATGACAGAATAGTTTCTCTGTGTCTGTCCTTCCATAAATGCTCTTCACCCATTTTATTTCTTGAGGGCCTGTCCACACCGTATACAGTGTGTTCCAGCACGCTTAGCTGCTGGAACACACTGTATCACATAGTAAATTCCCCCCTGCATTATGGGGCGGGAGGGGGTGTGGCAGTGCATTGATGTCAATGGCATCACAGCCACGGCCCCTGCCCACAGTGCAATCGTGGGCAACAGAACGCAGGCACAATAATGCCTGCGTCCCGGTCCAGTGCGATCGGAAAACGTAGTGCATGCAGCATTTTTTTCGATCGCGCTAGACCGCAACACAGGCATTGATGTGCCACTCAATCTGGTGCGGGCCATCGCACTGCGGGCAGGGGGCGCTGCTGCGGTGCCATTGACTTCAATGCACAGCCCTGCCTCGCCCCAGAACGCAGGGGTAGTTTACTGTGCAATACTGTGCAGAAATATATGGTGTATATATTTGGTATATATATGGTGTGAACAAGCCCTAACAGTACACTAAGCTGTACATGCACAACTCAAGTGTGTAGTCTCGGCATGCCCTGGGTGCTGGGAAGTAACTCCCACTATGCAGGAGTTACATCAATCTGGCCAATCAAGATGGTCCAAGACACTGAATCCAAAAGTAGATCTGGAGAAGATGGAAGGGTCTGCAACAGAGTGACAAAGGGAAAAGAGATGGGGGCTGGACATTGAACTGCTGGAACGGAGCAAAAGAAGTATGCCATTATGTGCAAATACTCGCACATTATTCTAAAAGCTCCTGCGGTTCCCCTTTAAACATAGATCTGAATGCTGACTGTCGCCTTTAACAAGCTGTTGGTGGGCTTCAGTAGGCCTGTTTAAAGGAACAGTCAGCTATCCTGTTTAGATCTATGTTTAACATCTATGTTTAACAAAAGTTTGCTTTAAAGGCTTCAAAGGCTGTCCGTGGGGAAAGCTTTTTGTAAGAGCTTGTTGTATTCTTTGCTCTTTTTTCATTGGCCTTTCAGGAGAAATTCAAAGTAAAACATTGCCAGAGTGGGGACACAGGTATGTGATGATTGCATCTCTACATATGCTGCATCAAGTTGTGCTGGAATTCAGCTCTCAGAGGTTTCATTTCAGAAATATGTTCAGCATCCAGTTCTATAAAGGGTATCTGCAAATGATAATCAAACCATTTCAGTGTAAGCCAACTTGGAAAGTTCAGAAATGAAATGTGTTTCCAAAGTGTCCCTGTCACTATGCACAGTAAAACTACAAACTACTTTGGTTACATAGAATATGTCAGATCATTAAAATGTGAATGACATGGGTATGCTCGGAGATTCTGATGATTTAATAGGCTGCATTCCCATAATTCACAGCTGTTTTATAT